ACATCAGATACAGATAAAAGGGGAAACATTTAAGTATATTTGCCATAGATGAATAGTGTAAACTTTTAATGATATTTGCTGACACCCTACAGTCAACTTTTGGCACCAGTAGAGTAGCTATCTAGTTATATAAACCACACCCCTCCACAAACACACCTTCTCAGATGTTGGTTACAAGGCGGTACTTACATAAATGAGGTAAGAGAATATCATGTTACCATTGGTGTATTAAAATGAGAGTTAGGGTGATGTCACCCTATCCCCTTAATAATCCAGCCTTCTGAATCCAAGTGTTTGGCATGGGGGAGGGGACCAGTAACTTCATGATCAAACTTTATTCATGTAGAAGCAACAGTCATTTTTCATACTTTAGTCATCATACTTTGATCTGGTTTCATCAGAATATCATGACCTTTAAGCAGACTTTTATCATCTCTACACTACCAGGGAACCGGGAGGGGGCGAATAGGTCAGGTAGGTTACAAGCATTATATTTTTAAAATGAAACAGAAGAATAAAAAGTAGCCAGCCGAATGTAAGAGGACGACACGCTTCTTTTTAGCCTAAAATGAAGAAAAAAAATGCAGAATTGTAGGAGGAGATCCTCTCGCAGCTTAGAATGTTTAGCATATTAAAATAGATGTCATTACAAGGTGCCCAGCGATTCAAGCCAAGCCTCCTCTTCCACCCTCTCTTGCTCTCTCCCCACCCGCAAAATGTCAGTCTCATCTCGTGCCCTACACTTGTCTGTAAACAACTAGGTAGCTTGCCCGCTCCTTAGCAAGCTGCTCTATCCGCACTGATTGGTGAAGTATTTTAATGAGCTGAATGTAAAAACAATGTAGATTTCACAGGTTAAAAAAGGAACAAAAAGGAACAATATAAACCTGTACTTTGGGATTTTTGGAACCGGTTCAGAAATTAAATTTGCTAGTCGGAACAGTGAAACGGAATGAAAAAAATTGTGGTTCTGTTCAGAACGAAACGATTGGAAAATTATTAAGGTTACAACCCCTGGTGCTAACCCCCGTACAGCTGCAGACGTTCTTACAAAAAAGCAGCGGTTCGATCGAACAGGTGTTGACTCGGTTGGAGTACTGCCCATCGCGATCAGATAGGGTCCCTCAGGGGGACTCTCTTTCAATGAATTTTTTTTTTCAGAAGTGGGACCAGGGTTACCAACTACATTTGGGAAAAAAAGTATTTAGTCAGCCACCAATTGTGCAAGTTCTCCCACTTAAAAAGATGAGAGAGGCCTGTAATTTTCATCATAGGTACACGTCAACTATGACAGACAAATTGAGGAAATAAAATCCAAAAAATCACATTGTAGGATTTTTAATGAATTTATTTGCAAATTATGGTGGAAAATAAGTATTTGGTCACCTACAAACAAGCAAGATTTCTGGCTCTCACAGACCTGTAACTTCTTGTTTAAGAGGCTCCTCTGTCCTCCACTCGTTACCTGTATTAATGGCACCTGTTTGAACTTGTTATCAGTATAAAAGACACCTGTCCACAACCTCAAACAGTCACACTCCAAACTCCACTATGGCCAAGACCAAAGAGCTGTCAAAGGACACCAGAAACAAAATTGTAGACCTGCACCAGGCTGGGAAGACTGAATCTGCAATAGGTAAGCAGCTTGGTTTGAAGAAATCAACTGTGGGAGCAATTATTAGGAAATGGAAGACATACAAGACCACTGATAATCTCCCTCAATCTGGGGCTCCACGCAAGATCTCACCCCGTGGGGTCAAAATGATCACAAGAACGGTGAGCAAAAATCCCAGAACCACACGGTGGGACCTAGTGAATGACCAGCAGAGAGCTGGGACCAAAGTAACAAAGCCTACCATCAGTAACACACTACGCCGCCAGGGACTCAAATCCTGCAGTGCCAGACGTGTCCCCCTGCTTAAGCCAGTACATGTCCAGGCCCGTCTGAAGTTTGCTAGAGTGCATTTGAATGATCCAGAAGAGGATTGGGAGAATGTCATATGGTCAGATGAAACCAAAATATAACTTTTTGGTAAAAACTCAACTCGTCGTGTTTGGAGGACAAAGAATGCTGAGTTGCATCTAAAGAACACCATACCTACTGTGAAGCATGGGGGTGGAAACATCATGCTTTGGGGCTGTTTTTCTGCAAAGGGACCAGGACGACTGATCCGTATAAAGGAAAGAATGAATGGGGCCATGTATCGTGAGATTTTGAGTGAAAACCTCCTTCCATCAGCAAGGGCATTGAAGATGAAACGTGGCTGGGTCTTTCAGCATGACAATGATCCAAAACACACCGCCCGGGCAACGAAGGAGTGGCTTCGTAAGAAGCATTTCAAGGTCCTGGAGTGGCCTAGCCAGTCTCCAGATCTCAACCCCATAGAAAATCTTTGGAGGGAGTTGAAAGTCTGTGTTGCCCAGCGACAGCCCCAAAACATCACTGCTCTAGAGGAGATCTGCATGGAGGAATGGGCCAAAATACCAGCAACAGTGTGTGAAAACCTTGTGAAGACTTACAGAAAACGTTTGACCTGTGTCATTGCCAACAAAGGGTATATAACAAAGTATTGAGAAACTTTTGTTATTGACCAAATACTTATTTTCCACCATTATTTGCAAATAAATTCATTAAAAATCCTACAATGTGATTTTCTGGATTTTTTTTCTCTCATTTTGTCTGTCATAGTTGACGTGTACCTATGATGAAAATTACAGGCCTCTCTCATCTTTTTAAGTGGGAGAACTTGCACAATTGGTGGCTGACTAAATACTTTTTTTCCCCACTGTATGTGTTTATACCCACAAAACCAATTATGCTTTCGGGGAATCTCGAATTGTCTTGTCGGAAGAGGGATTTGACTGGCTACAGCGCTTCCACCAAATCCGCCCATCTCTAAGTGGTTATCAGGGATCCGAGAAATTTTTCTTTAGCTGTCGTAAAAAGCAAGGCGTAAAAGTGGGGGAAATATTCGAAGAGTATGGGCTGTGATGTGACTTTCGGAAGTCTAAGGCGTTCAATTTCAATATTCAATTTCACCCAAGATAGCTTCACAGATCGAGGAAGTGTGAGTTCACACTTTGAATTACATTATGGATACACAGAATCATTATTAGAATTATGTCAGGTTGCCCAGAAAAGCAAGAATGCTGATTCAAAATGCAATAATTTGAGAAAAATTATAATTGTGCATAATTTAATCATAGCGCTTGATGGTTTTTGCTACTGTTTCAAAGTTCTTGAAATGTTCCATATTGACTGACCTTCATGTCCTAAAGTAATGATGGACTGTTGTTTCGCTTTGCTTATTTGAGCTGTTCTTGCCAGAATATGGACTTGGTCTTTTATCAAATAGGGCTATCTTCTGTATACCCCCCCCCCCCCCCCCCCCCCCCCCCCACCTTGTAACAACACAACTGATTGGCTCAAACACTTTAAGAAGGAAAGAAATTCCACAAATTAACTTTTAACAAGGCACACCTGTTAATTGAAATGCATTCCTGGTTGAGAGAATGCCAAGAGTGTGCAAAGCTGTCATCAAGGCAAAGGGTGGCTATTTGAAGAATCTCAAATATAAAATATATTTTGATTTGTTTAACACTTTTTTGGTTACTACATTATTCCAAAACTTATTTCATAGTTTTGATGTCTTCACTATTATTCTACAATATAGAAAATAGTACAAATAAAGATAAACCCTGGAATGAGTAGGTGTGTCCAAACTTTTGACTGGTCCTGTATATATTTTTATCCGGGGGCAAGGCTAGCCTCCCTGGGTCTGCCCCAGCCCTCCCTGGCCGCGGATCTTTCAATCATTCTTAAGAGTGGGTTACCGTGTGCAGGGCTGAACTTAGGCTGTGAAGGACAGTGTGGAGCTCTATAGGGTGGGCTTAGGGAGTAGGCCGTGGTCTCAGGTCCAGGGAGAGGGCAGGCTGGGAGTGTAGGCCTAGAGGTCTGGACTTAGACTATAGAGCTCCAGTGTAAGGCGTGGAACTCCAGAGAGGGTGAGGCAGGAGTGAAACCCAGAAAATGGGTGCCTCGAGTGGGGCAGAAGTCATCATGTCATTGGGAGACTGTCTGGAGCTCCAGAGAGGGCCAAGGGAGAAGGTTGAAAAGTGGGACTGGTATTTTTTTCAAAATGCTCCTATTGATTTGTATTGGGTGACCAGGTAGGTGCCCGTGGTTAAACCGCTCTAAAACGGCCAGTGCCTCCCCCCAGTGACTGACCCCGTGTAGGGGCCTTGGTCCCCCCAGTTAGGGTCTCCCCCAACCAGGCCATGGACCCCCAGCACACCCTTGGGGGCCCCTAGAGCTTTCCCCCTATCCAGCTCAGATACCAGGTGCATGGATCCAGTAAGCCTTCGGGTCTTTAGCTTCGACTAGAATCAAACCTTAGGTTCCGCGACACTGTAGTGGGGTTGAGAACAAAAACCTCTCGCCCCCATCTCATTCCCGGGCCTGGTCTTTGGGCCCCTAGCTTCAGCTAGAACCAGTTAAGTAGCAGGTTACCAGGTGCACGCAGAAGGGCAAGGGCCATGGGCTACAAACAGAGTCAGAGACAGAGTGTGAGGGCCGGGCAGGCCGTTAATGCAATGAGCCCCCATATTTGGACTACAGTTACCCTCGGTCGAACCCCCCGAAAAGCCCTCCCCCTGCTGCCCTCACCTTCTAACACGGTTATCCTATATTTAACATGATCTAAAAATGTATCTGATTATGGGGAAATGCATTTCTAGACTTTTTGTTTTTGACTTATTAATGTTTCAACTTGGGTGTTGGAGTTTTTGTCCACCACTGACTATTCAAAAACGAAGCTCTGTGGGTACCAGGGCGTTTGTAGACTTTGCAGCCTCTTCCATAGTAGCCCCACTCGGTTCCAGGTCGACCAGACAGGTAATGGTTTTCGACAACTAAAGAAGCCCTCCGGCGACCCCAAGGTCAGTCTGAAGCCCTGTGGAGGGTCGAGTTCTTTACCTGGCCCTAGTAAATGTGCAGGCGGCTATTGGGGAAGGGCTGGGTGCTTCCCACGCCTGGTTCTCACTCCCTGCAGACGACCACCAAGTCGGTCTCTTAGTCCCGGGTTACCAGCACCTCGGGCTGGACTCTAAATTAACAAAAAATAATTGGTAGCACTGGTCTAGGCGCACGGTGCTTCCAAAATAGCACAACAAAATACTTAAGAGCATATTCGACCAAAATGGTCATACTTTAGAGCCCTGACAGCAGGTGTACTCTCAGGCCCAGTGAGAGGGAATGTGAGTAGGCAGAGATTGTGGGTCTATGTCCCTGGAGGTCTGGCTGTAGAGAGTCAAGGTGGAGTTCCACGGATGGATGGGTGACAAAAGTGGATGTGTGATAATGTACCTTTCACCCACATTTAACATGGGCGGCAGCGAGCCTCAAACCCAAGACCTTTGGGTCGGGAGGCGGCCCATCTACCAGGTGTCCTACAAGGGCAGAGAGAGCCAGTGTGCCCACGTCCTTACCAGCCACTGCCTGTCGATTGCCTGCCCACGTGTCCTCCACAGCTGTGGGCAATCCTGCAATTGTTTAGGGTTAGGGTCGAGGCGAAGTGTGGACATTTTTTTTTATTTATTATTTTATTTATTTAACCAGGTAAGCCAGTTCAGAACAAGTTCTCATTTACAACTGTGACCTGGCCAAGATAAAGCAAAGCAGTGCGATAAAAACAACAACACAGAGTTACATATGGGATAAACAAAACGTACAGTCAAAAACACAATAGAAAATATATATACAGTGTGTGCAAATGTAGTAAGTTATGGAGGTAAGGCAATAAATAGGCCATAGTGCAAAATAATTACAATTTAGTATTAACACTGGAATGATAGATGTGCAGAAGATGATGTGCAAATAGAGATACTTGGGTGCAAATTATCAAAATAAATAACAATATGGGGATGAGGTAGTTGGGTGGGCTAATTACAGATGGGCTGTGTACAGGTGCAGTGATCGGTAAGGTGCTCTGACAACTGATGCTTAAAGTTAGTGAGGGAGATAAGAGTCTCCAGCTTCAGAGATTTTTTGCAGTTCGTTCCAGTCATTGGCAGCAGAGAACTGGAAGGAATGGTGGCCAAAGGAGGTGTTGGCTTTGGGGATGACCAGTGAGAAATACCTGTTGGAGCGCATACTATGGGTGGGTGTTGCTATGGTGACCAATGAGCTAAGATAAGGCGGGGATTTGCCTAGCAGTGATTTATAGATGACCTGGAGCCAGTGGGTTTGGCAATGAATATGTAGTGAGGGCCAGCCAACGAGAGCGTACAGGTCACAATGGTGGGTAGTATATGGGGCTTTGGTGACAAAACGGATGGCACTGTGATAGACTACATCCAATTTGCTGAGTAGAATGTTGGAGGCTATTTTGTAAATGACATCGCCGAAGTCAAGGATCGGTAGGATAGTCAGTTTTACGAGGGTATGTTTGGCAGCATGAGTGAAGGAGGCTTTGTTGCCAAATAGGAAGCCGATTCTAGATTTAACTTTGGATTGGAGATGCTTAATGTGAGTCTGGAAGGAGAGTTTACGGTCTAACCAGACACCTAGGTATTTGTAGTTGTCCACATATTCTAAGTCAGACCCGCCGAGAGTAGTGATTCTAGTCGGGCGGGCGGGTGCAAGCAGCGTTCGATTGAAGAGCATGCATTTAGTTTTACTAGCGTTTAAGAGCAGTTGGAGGCTGCGGAATGAGTGCTGTATGGCATTGAAGCTCATTTTGAGGTTTGTTAACACAGTGTCCAATGAAGGGCTAGATGTATACAAAATGGTGTCGTCTGCGTAGAGGTGGATCTGAGAGTTACCAGCAGCAAGAGCGACATCATTGATATACACAGAGAATAGAGTCGGCCCGAGAATTGAACCCTGTGGCACCCCCATAGAGACTGCCAGAGGTCCAGACAACAGGCCCTCCGATTTGACACATTGAACTCTATCTGAGAAGTAGTTGGTGAACCAGGCAAGGCAGTCATTTGAGAAACCAAAGCTATTTAGTCTGCCAATAAGAATGCAGTGATTGACAGAGTCGAAAGCCTTGGCCAGGTCGATGAAGATGGCTGCACAGTACTGCCTTTTATCGATCACCGGTTATAATATCGTTTAGGACCTTGAGCGTGGCTGAGGTGCACCCATGACCAGCTCGGAAACCAGATTGCATAGCGGAGAAGGTACGGTGGGATTTGAAATGGTCGGTGATCTGTTTGTTAACTTGGCTTTCAAATACTTTCGAAAGGCAGGGCAGGATGGATATAGGTCTATAACAGTTTGGATCTAGAGTGTCACCCCCTTTGAAGAGGGGGATGACCGCAGCAGCTTTCCAATCTCTAGGGATCTTAGACGATACGAAAGAGAGGTTGAACAGGCTGGTAATAGGGGTTGCGACAATTTCGGCGGCTAATTTTCGAAAGAAAGGGTCCAGATTGTCTAGCCCAGCTGATATGTAGGAGTCCAGATTTTACAGCTCTTTCAAAACATCAGCTATCTGAATTTGGGTGAAGGAGAAGCGGGGGGGCATGAGCAAGTTGCAGCGGAGGGTGCAGAGCTTGTGGCCAGGGGTAGGGGTAGCCAGTTGGAAAGCATGGCCAGCCATAGCAAAATGCATGTTGAAATTTTGGATTATCGTAGTTTTATCGGTAGTGACAGTGTTTCCTAGCCTCAGTGCAGTGGGCAGCTGGGAAGAGGTGCTCTTATTCTCCATGGACATTACAGTGTCCCAAAACCTTTTGGAGTTAGTGCTACAGGATGCACATTTCTGTTTGAAAAAGCTAGCCTTTGCTTTCCTAACTGATTGTGTATATTGGTTCCTGACTTCCCTGAAAAGTTACATATCGCGGGGGCTGTTTGATGCTAATGCAGTGAAGCTATGGTTAGGGTTGTGGTTGAGGGTTAGGGTTGAGCCGGAGTGTGGACATGAAGCTAGGGTTAGGTTAGAGTTAGGATCAGGGTTAAGGTAAGGGTTCGGAGGCCTTTGAGTACTAACCTGTTATGATGTTGTCCACCAGGGTAGTGGGCATACAGAATATGCCAACCAACAAATCACTAATAGCCAGATTGAGTATGAAGATGTTGGTGACTGTCCTCATGTTCTTGCTGCGCAGCACGATGAAACACACCACGCCATTCCCCACCATGCAGACCAGGAAGATGAGCAGGTAGAACACAATGAAGACTACCGCCACCGAGGGCTCGTGGAGGTACAAGTCCACGTAGGTGATGTTCTGTTGGGTGTAGTGGGAGGGCGGGTATAGGAGGTATTGGGGATCCCTGGAGGAGTTGAAGTAAGAGGTGTTCCAGTCTTCTGAGCTGTTGGAGCAGTTGGGATCCAGAGTCTGCGTCATGGTGGAATCTGAGCAGGGAGGGAGGGAGGGAGGGAGGGAGGGAGGGAGGGAGGGAGGGAGGGAGGGAGAAAAAGAGAAGGAGGGAGAGTATGAGAGCGAGACGATGGTTTTAGTTTGTGGGTTTCTTTGTGCTGTACAGATAGTGAAAGTATTTGTCACGCTGGACACCTTGAGAATATACTGTAGTAGTTCACAAAAGAAAAGTTCCGGTAGAGATGGTGTGTTACTTTATTATTTTATATGTCAAAAGACATCTTTCTATTGTGGTGTTGAACCTTGAAGGCTCTTACCATTGCCATACAGTACACCATATGTGATAAATCTTCTATTGTGTGTGTGGGTCTCTGGATGTGTGCGTGCATGTGTGTGTGTGGCAGTAAATGGAGGGAGGCGTAAACAGTGCTGTAGTGGAGGGTAAACGCAAGTACATTTTTTACAAACATTTTACGAAATCATCCAATCAAGAAAGCCCATACTCAGAAAGGTTAGAGCCTTTACAATCTACAGGTAATAATAGGTAATACCACACTCACAGGAAGTGGATAGTGATTGGTCATCATTACATACTAGCATTACACAACCTAGTCTCCAGAAATCAACTAGAACCATTTTGCTGCCTTGATGATTGTGTGATGATTCAGTCAAGTGTATGCTGTCTCTCAACCTCACTCACTCACACGCACACACATACACACACACTCATACACACACACACACACACACACAGATGACAAAAAAATGAGCTTGAGTGAAAAATTCCAATGTATTTTTGATGCTGATGATATTCTGCTGGCGTGCTGGTACCCCTCTGCGCACCAAGGCATCAAAACGTTATTCATCAATCACATCAGTGCCGTCTGACTCAAAAAATTGGCACATTTCTCAAATATTTGACTGGAGAGAATTACTCTTGATATCAAGCTCCTTTCTCTCTGAAGTTCCAAACTGCCAATGATTGATAAGTACACTCCTTTAGGCTTTTGTTAACCTTCACATATTAAACTTGAACAGAGTTGACAAGTAGATTTGAAGTCCTTTTTTTCTAGCTAAATACACTTGACATACCACCTGTGGGCACTTTCATCCTTACTTTTCTTTAGAAGTAAAGAAGTTCAATTGGATTGAGAACAAACTCCACCAACATTTTTTCCCCCCTTTATTTAACTAGGCAAGTCAGTTAAGAACAAATTCTTATTTACTATGACAGCCTACACCAGCCAAACCCGGACGACGCTGGGCCAATTGTGCGCCACCCTATGGGACTCCCTATCACGGCCGGTTGTGATACAGCCTGGAATCAAACCAGGGGATTTGTAGTGACGCCTCATGCACTGAGATGCAGTGCCCTAGACCACTGCGCCACTCGGGAGCCCAAGCCCAACATGAGAAATTATCAGCTCAGAATGACTTCCAGATGCTGTCAGTGCACCTGCAGCACTTCATAACTTAAGCCTCAAGTGAGACCCGCTGATGGAATTTACCATGGCAATCATTCTGAATTTCAATCAGTCTCCCGAGTGGCGCAGTGGTCGAAGGCAATGCATCGCAATGTTGCTGTGCCTGGTTCGAATCCAGGTTCTGTCGTGGCCGGCTGCGACTGGGAGACCCATGGGGCGGCGCACAATTTGTCCAGGGGAGGGAATGGCCGGCAGGGATGTAGCTCAATTGGTAGAGCATGGCGTTTGCAACGCCAGGGTTGTGGGTTCGATTCCCACGGGGGGCCTATACACTGTAGGCCCTCTGCTCACTGAACTCTGACACTGAAATGTGCAGTTGCGGAGTATCATTCAAGGTCAATCATATAATTAGGTTGATTATGGACCACGTGATGGCAGTCGTCATCTCACTTTGAAAAGTGACAATTTGTATGCATATAAAATAAAGGCAATGTCTTTTTCAATGGAAAGGCCTAATGCATTGATGATTCATCATTACTTTCTAACATTTAGTGAATTCTTCAATCCATCAGCAAATCCTGAAAAAAATTGGTAACACTTCACTTGACACCTAGCGTCATAACACATTATGACACGGTCATAACCTGTCATAATATGGTCATAACACTGTCATGACCCATATATATACACCTGTTGTGACATATTTGTGTTATTTTATGGCTAATTACGACACCTACATAAGAGTGACACCTACATTCTCCCTGCCAAGAAGTTTCCTTTTATTTGAAAGTTTGTTTCTTAAATCCTTTGCTGTTGTTGTAATGAATTTTTTCCAGTCATGTTTTTTTCATCATATTTTAAAGAACTTGTAGAAAATACACTTTATGGCACTGTCAATAAGCATTATAACCATCAGAATCATGTAAGCCAGATAGGCCTATCAAGTACATGCCCTTATGTCAGTCAGTCATCAGTTAAAAAGAGGGTGTCTTGTACTGCTCCTGAAATCTGCTCCTGCATTCATCAGCAACAGAGCATTGGGGTAGTTGCATGTCTGACATCAATGTGTGCGCAATTACAATGATAATTTAATATGGTCAATTTCAAAAAATGGTATATAACATAAACATACTGTTGACTAGTAGGCTATGGTGTAATGGAATGTTTGCCTTGTGTGGTAGGTTATGTGGGTATTGACCCTCTTATGTAAGTGTCATAATCAGCCATAAAATAACACAATACATGTCACAACAGGTCTAAACATATGTGTCATGACAGTGTTATGACCATATTATGACAGGTTATGACAAGTTATGTCAGCTGTTAACACATATTATGACATGGTTATGACCGTGTCATAACGTGTTATGGCACTAGGTGTCAACTAAAGTGTTACCCACAAATTTAAATAAGAATGATCTTACCTTAAGAACTTGATAAAAATGTCAAACTGATAATATTTCCTTACCAAAAGGTGATGTAGAAAACTAGTAGAGGAAGACTCAAAAGTCCAAAGAGATAGATGTGCGTCACTTCTCAATGAGATAGCACTGCTTTGAAGAAGATCTGTACATGGCAACGACCGAGAAGAGAGACACGGACTGACTGTTGTCGCTCTGCACGCTTCGGCACAAATAAATCCACTAAGCACAAGAGGCGCAGAATCGCAGGGCGGGTAGGTAAAGTGCTTGCCTCTGTTATGATACTGATGGTTTGTACGGTTGTGGCTACCAGCACAGCTCCATCTAGTTGTGTAGCATTTTTGCTAATTTGCGTTTTAGCTAAGCCTTACCCTTTTCCTAACCTTAACCTATTTTTCATAAGAGCCATTTTATGAATAGAAAGAGACATCTGTTACAAAACACCAAAAAGTTTAATGACATTCGGGAGATTGTCAAGTCAAGCCTTCGATACATCTGTTAAAAAACACCAAAAAGTTTAATGACATTCGGGAGATTGTCAAATCAAGCCTTCGATACTGGGTAGGGAGGGATGCATTTTCTGTTTGTCCAGATTATATAAACAAATAAAGAGAGTCGCACACTTTACATTTTACATTTAAAAATAATAATTTACACTCTATGTATAAACTCCCAGTAATTTATTGGGTAAGAAACCACCAACGTTTCGGCATCACTGTGCCTTCTTCATACTTTTTATTAGACTGTTTGTCGAGATTGACATAAAGATTAGCAATATTGACTGTATAAAATAAATAATTCAAATGCTGAGCTATATTGTATACACATTTTTTGGGGGGAAATTATATAATTTTATACTAATACAATTGCTCAGAGAAAGAGATTTCTAATAGAAATGAATGGTAAACAATGTATTGTGTCATTTTGTTTCACTCACTCACAGTCACTAGTCTCAAAGCACAAGTCTCCCCTTCTCCAAACATTATGTATGAATCCGTAGCTAGTGGTTGTTGTTCAATCTAGTTATTTTCTGTAGACTTTGCTGATGTCATGTGGTTGTTTTTGTCTGTCTACTTGTCATTGTTTAGTAGGCCTACTTTGTCTGTCCATATAATTATTCCGTTGCTGATGACATCTGTCGTTATGTCGTGATCAAAGCCCATGCATATTGCTATTATTATTTATTCTCGCCCAGGCATGTTAACCGAGCACCAGATCATTAGAAAATCAAATTATAAATGCAGATAGTTTATTTTAATTGTACAAATGTTGTGACATAAGAGTCGGGAGAGAAAAGCTTTGCTCATCTCAAAAGCGAAACAATATATGGGGCAAGCGAATTAGCCTACCTTCATCTAAATCTGTGTCTGGAATAAATGCAGGCAGTAGTAGCCAGCCATGCATTAGGGTATTTATTAGCCTATTTCGTTGATAATTGAATTGGACTAAGTAAGTAAATGGCCGTAATTTGCATTTTCATCTGTCGGGGTCGTTTACCTTTGAACAATGTTTGTGAATGAGTGAAGGAACATAACGAAGCGCTCTGTGATGCTTCGTTATGATAGTGCAGTAATGCAGACTTGAGGTACAGGTTTTAAAGCACGCTTCCGGTTTTTCTGTTCACGAGTAAATCCGATTACGAGTATCAAGTGTAATAAAATGGATATGATTACGAATACAAGTATGACGAGATCCGCACACCCCTAGTAGCATCCACATGAATGTAGAAGTGTTTAGAAACATATTCTATTCTTTATACATTAAAATGTGACTCCAAAATGACACAATACATTATTTACCATTCATTTCTATTGGGCACAAAATACTCTGAAATAAAACCAAAACGAACTGCAAATGCATCCAACAAGTCACAAGCTCGATGTAGTCAATGTGTGCTAGGAATATGGGCCCAAATACTAATCTTTTGACAAAGCAAACGCTGAAAGTATTTCATACATGTTCAGTAAATATGTTAATAGTATTTGAACCGAGGTGTATGCTGTGAGCTCTAACCAAGACACATGGAAGTGCAAGCCATTACACAGTCAGTACATGAATGCAGGAGGTCTCTACTGAACATTACAGAGGAAGATGGCACCATGTGGTTTTTGGAACATAAATCCATGTCAAATGCTTCATCCTAAGTCCCTAACCATGGCTTAATAGGCTACCATGATTAACT